GAAGAAGAAAAAGTAAAGAAAATGCTTATTTCTTTGTCTATCTGTTTGTTCCTTTCACTTTTTTTCAGATTCCAATCAATATTCCTGTTACCTTATCTGTATATCTGCTTATCAATCTGTCTTTAAATCTGCCTCCTGCTTACCCCCCCCCCCTCTCTCTCTTTGTCTCTCTCTTTCACACACACTCTCTTAATCACACGCCCCAATCAATTTCTCTTTTCTCTTCTTAATTTCTCTCTCTCTCTCTCTCACTCTTTCACTTATAGAGAGAGAGGAGAGAGAGGAGAGAGAGAGAGAGAGAGAGAGAGAGAGAGAGAGAGAGAGAGAGAGAGAGAGAGAGAGCTACCCTTTCAATCACAGACGCAATCAATCTCTCACTCACTCTTTTTCTTTCTTTCTTTCTCTCTCTCTCTCTCTTTCACTCTCTCTTATTCCTATTCTCTACGTCTCTTTTCCTCGCCCTTTCTTCCTACACAGAAACGTATCACAGCGCTCAGCGGGGAAGGCTATATACGTTTTATTATGGTCACGTCAGAAGGCAAAACAGAGGTTGTCTATATTTAACCAGCCTTGGAACATAAAGGTGAAAGAACATTATAACACCACTTTGTATTGTCTTTGCGGCTCTGTACCGTTACCCTTTAACCGATAAGACCATTATCCGACATATCGATATGTGAAAAGAAACCTTACTGTGGGAAAGGAGCGGGTATGGTCCTCTTAGCTCTACAGATGTGTATCACAAGCCATCGATTTTTTTTCTTCTAAAGGTCGACACACTGGCAACAAGAATAGTCGGAAAAGGAGAAATGTTGTTGCTACTGTATGTTCCGACAAAAAAGGAAGGAGGAGGAAGGAAAGGGGAAGAGGAGAGGGAGGAGGAGGAGAGGAGAAGAAAAAGAAGAGGGAGAAGAAGGAAAGGAAGAAGAAGAAGGAGGAAGGAGGAGGAGGAAAGGAAGAAGATGGAGAAAGAGAAAGGGAAGATGAAATGAAGAAGAAGGAGGAGGGGGAGGGGAGGGGGAGGGGGAGGAGAAGGAGAAGAAAGAGAGAAGAAGAAAAGAAGAGGAAGGAAGAAGGAGGAGGAAGGAAGAAGAAAAAGAAGGAGGAGAAGAAAAAGGAAGAGGGGAAGAAGGAGAGAGGGAGAGAGAAGAAGGAGGAGTAGAAAACCTCATATGTTCCTATCTATAAATAAGGATTTTGGGTCCGTATAGCGTTAATCCCGACATTTTACCAAAAGTTTAGAGGAAGAAGACCGTGGCCACGTGACCTTTGAAAAAAAAATTACTGCGTATCTCTGTCTTCCCCTATTCTCGATATTTTCTGGGGGGGTTCCTTTCTTTCTTTCTTCTCTCACTCTCTCTCTCTCTCTCTCTCTCTCTCTCTCTCTCTCTCTCTCTCTCTCTCTCTCTCTCTCTCTCTCTCTCTCTCTCTCTCTCTCTCTCTCTCTCTCTCTCCGTGTCCTCCTCTACCTCTTCCTCCTTCTAATTCTTTTCTTCCTTCTACATTTACATATTCTCTTCCTTTCCCTTTTCCCTCTACAGCGAGCGATTCAGTTTGTTTGAACGATATCAGCAACAGGGTTTATAATCAACCGCATGAAATATGGCGGGAAAGGAGCAGGCACGAGCATAAAATATTTCTTGGTGTTTTTGATAATAATTTAAGAGCTGTTCTAAACACGTCGGTTTAAAACACACAATTGTGTCGATTAATTTCCACGTGATTTGGAAAATAATGAAATACACTATTGTAAAGTTTCGAAAATAATGGAAAGTGGAAAGTGGATTTAATTGCTGCTGTATCACTCATTGATCACAAAATTCAGGTTTTGAATATCTAATTATCGAGGTGTATAGTTTCCTAAATTGACGATGTTTTAATTGATTTAGCCATTAATTAGGTCCGCGTAATTTCTACCTCTTTTTCGAAATGTTTTAGGCTCGTTTTCCACAACATGAAGAGTCAATCCTTTCACCTAAATATCAATGGACAATTTTTTCATACTCCTGGAACCGAAAGCGAAGAAATTTACGAGAAAGATAAATTTATGAAAGAGTGGTATGAAGGACATAATTTTCGAGGGAAGTAATCTTTATATCTCCCGCCATTTTTTTTTTTTTTTTTTTGCCTACTTGCTGCGTAGTTTAATATCCAGCATCCTTTATATCTATTACCTAATTACGCCTCGCTCCCGAGCTAATGGACCGTAAATTATGCTTTATAAAAAGGTCCCTTGCACTAGAGCGAGCTGCACGAGTCAAGGCATTTGCAAAAGTATCCTTGCCGATATTTTGCAAAATGATACTATACGCGTAAAGAGCAAAAACCTAAGTGAAAATAAATTGTATTAAGCTTTATAAATATAAGTAACATCAACTCGTTTCAAACACAACCAGTCTATATACTTACAAAAAGTAGAGCGATCAAAATAAAACATTATCTTTTACGTTTTACAAATAAGAAATTAAGCTGCGACTAATCCAAACGCACAGATAAATAAAACACAAATAACATCAACGCATTTCAAAGTTTCCGTTTCGTACTGTTTAACGAACTAATGGCCAAACAAGCACAGATCCCAACGGACCCGGTTCGACGACGGCGGTTCGAATATCGATCGAATATGAGTGAACAATTTACAGGGTGATGAACGCATCGGAGACTCCAGCGTGTGTGTGTGTGTGTGTGTGTGTGTGTGTGTGTGTGTGTGTGTGTGTGTGTGTGTGTGTGTGTGTGTGTGTGTGTGTGTGTGTGTGTGTGAGTGTGTGTGTGAGTGAGTGAGTGAGTGAGTGAGTGAGAGTGAGTGAGTGAGTGAGTGAGTGTGTGTGTGATGAGTGAGTGTGAGTGAGTGTGTGAGTGGATGAGTGAGTGTGTGTGTGTATGTGTGTACACGTGTGCGTGTGCTCATGTTTACGACAGGAAGTTTTGAAGTGTGGCCAACGCATGGGCTCGCTTCAGTTTGTTTTGGTTTGTGATTATTTATTTTCTATAGAAAAAATCGTATGAATGCATTAAACACACACACACACACACACACACACACACACATATATATATATATATATATATATATATATATATATATATGTATGTATATATATATATATATATATATATATATATATATATATATATGTATGTATATATATATATATATATATATATATATATATATATATATATATATATATATATATATATATATATATATATATATAGAGAGAGAGAGAGAGAGAGAGAGAGAGAGAGAGAGAGAGAGAGAGAGAGAGAGAGAGAGAGAGAGAGAGAGAGAGAGAGAGAGAGAGACGAGGTTGAGGTTAGAGAAAGAGGAGGTTTAAAGTTCAGGCGAGATCCCCGAAATAATCCTCCCTTTTTATTGATACAACTGCCGTTCGTAAAACACTTCCTGTCAACAAAAGCATAGAGGAGACGCTGGTTGCCGCCGACAGAGGGCATCGCCATTATTATTGTTGTTGTTATTGTTGCCGTTGATGTTATCATTGTTATTGTTGTTGTTGTTTTTGTTATTGTTGCCATTATTATTATCATTATTATTAGTTTCTTTACATTCCCGTTTAATCGTTAGCCTATGCAGTTTTCACTTTGGCAAGATGATATTGATGATGATGATGATAGTAGTTGTAATATTAATAATGGTACTATTGCTACTACTAATAATATCTATTATATTAATAATGACAATAACAATAATAATTATAATAATTATTATTATAATGACAACAACAACAATAATAATAATATCAATAACAATACTAATGAATGACAATAACTATAACAACGATCATAATTGTAAAAATTATCAAATCAGCCGCTATGTTTATGGTAACCATAAATAAAAAGACAAGAATACAAACGTTGACAACAGTAATAATAACAGCAGCAATAACGATAATTATCACCAGAATAATAGTGTCATTAAACTGATCTCCTTCCGGTGAGTAGGCCCGATCGCCCCCAGCCGCCCACAGCCCACAGGAGAGGTCCGTAGGCCTCCTCTGACGTGAATAAAAAGGAAAGCGTCATAGGCCTTCATTGTTGCTCCACCTTGAGCGCGCCAACTGCCTTCCCGCACTAGTTACCACACGCCGCCGTTTCCCCCTTAAATTATATCCCTCCCTTTTTTATACCCTTTTCTGGTTGATTAAGGGGAGTTCTGGCGTCGCTTTGGGATCCACGGGGCAACACTCACTCGAAAAAAGTGGCGTGTATGATGTGTCATTGATTTTCAAGGGGGGTGAGGTTTGCATCATTGCTTTTCTCCCTCTCTCCCTCTCTCTCTCTCTTTGCATAACGATAATAATTTCTGCTCTTCGGGATCGGCCAACGGGGTTTTACTGTTCATCACACGTTGTTTGTCGACGCTGGCCAGCACGCCTTCCCAAACGAGGCAGACGAGCGAAGTGAATTCTTTTGGGTAATTACCGATGTCATTTGAAAATAAATGTGAAAAAAACGTCATCGCGTTGCAAATGTTGGCAACTGTGTACCGCGCCCGTGAGTGTATTCACGTTTCAGGACAAAGAAAAGGGGCCGCTGCACCTATTTCCCACGTTGTTTTCTCTTAATTCCAATACGTGCGGCATTTGCATATCTTTGAAGCAGCGAATGATAGTTGTCAAGTCATAATATCGGCCCATAGGAGTGGATCCCGCACGTTCTTTTCGCAAATGGCGGTTCGAAGGCGAGCGTGCGGGACAAAGAGATTTGGCGCGCGTGCTCTTGTTTACGATGGCCGATGCGCGATGATCTTTCGTCCTTCTCCGTTCCTCTCGCTTCCATGGTGGATGACAACCGTTTCCTACTCCTTCTGTACAATCAACAGTCGATCCTGCGTTGAAATAGTAAAAGCACAAAGCTTTCTAAGACCCAGAAAGGGATAATAAAAGGGAAAGAAGAATAAATCCGTGGCAACCCTCTCGCTTGACCCCGCCCTCGTCCTCGCCGCTTCACCGCCGCCTGCGTGTCTCTCCCTCAGTGTTGCTCCAACTGTGAGACGGGATACACGTGCTCTCCGCCGTTCTCGCCTGCCGCCGCTCCGTCTCCCGGCCGCGTCTCCTCCTAGTCATTTCCATGGCTCGCTTGCTTCAGATCGAAATAGCTTATTAAATGGCTATAAATTCATAAATTCTTCTCATATGAAAGGTGCAATAGGAATTTGAATAAGGTGTGTGCTGCTCTCTTTTTTTCCCCCTCTCCTTCCCTCCCTTCCATCCTCCTCCTCTTTATTATTATTTTCCCACGTCCTGCAAAAAGAGGAAAAAATAAACCTTTTGATTAGAAAAAAACAGAAGATAACCTTACCGATTGTCCCAACTCCCCTTTTCTAATGGAGGATCAATGAATATTTGAAGGAAGGATAAAAGAAAATAAGAATACCAAAGCACAAGAAGAAACGAGAGGGAAAGAGAGTAAAAAAGAGAAGGAAAAGAGAGAAAGAGAGGAAGAAAAACCACCGTGGATTTGAATGCGCAGACTCTTCGCTTTTCGAGGTAAGTTTTCTCACCTTAAAAAGAAACCTGTTGATTAAGTTTGTATTTTTTCTAAACCGTAGGGAGAAGAGAATATATTATTTTAAAAATTCTCTAAGTTAAAAAAGTTCTTTTCGTTTCCTTATATAGACCTTCATTCGCCAATTTCCCTTTCATTCACACTTCTCTTCATTAGAAGGTTTCGTCACGTTATATACCTTTCTCCTGTTTAATTCCTTTTGTTATTTGCAATCATATGCATTTATGACACCTTCCCTCCCCTCCCCATTATACCATAACCCCCAACACTAGAAGTACACTTTAAAAAAAACGTAGATATACATATATAAGAAAGAGAATCAGGATTGAAAACGAAAGTGAGAGGGACTCCTCCAGCACCCCCCCCCCTGCCCTCCCTCCCCTCCCACCCCCAAGGTCACTCCGGCCCCACTCTAACCTACTTTAGCTTAGCTTCGTGTTTTGCTTACAAGGACAGGAGATGGAGAGGGAAGAAGGATGCACAGGAAAAATGGATAAGAGAGGGGAAAGGAAAATAAGATTGAGAAATATGTTAGTTTTTGGCATATTTTTAAATGGTGGAATTGGTTCCTGGAGGATTCGCGTTTGCCTGTCTCGTTTTACCTAATTTTTTGTATTGGTGTGGTTGAGGCGTTCTGATTTTATGTTGCTTACCGTCACTATTATTAGATCATTATAAATGTCTACTTTCCGAAACTTTTCTTGGAAGGAAAAAAGGGAAAAGGTTTTAGGGTGAGTTTGGGCGTTTTTGGAAAACCGGAGGCGGCGGTTACCATATGTTTCAGGTCGAGGCAGCGTTCATAATCGTTCTTTATCTTCCTTTGGTGGCACAGTTGTTGTTTGTGTGAGCGAGGAAGGGGCTCTCCGTTTTTTTTTTAAAGGATGTTGTGGTTTTATGAAGAAGTTGAGATTTTTTTGTTTTTGGTGGAAATGGCTGTCGTTCGGTGTCTTGTTTTTGTTTTGCTTTTGTTTCGTTTTCTTTTTTTGTCTGTTTTAGTTTTTGTTTTACTCTGAAGACTTACCATTATCTATCAGGGTCATTTGCACTTTGTTATAGTTGTTAGAGAGGATTAGCAGTGGTGGTTGTTAGCTGGGAGGCTAGAACGTGCGTATGGGAGCGTAGGTAGCGTTAGATTGGTATGTAAATGGCGTAGTTACCTTGAATCCTGAATTGGTGACGTAATACGATGACATTTTGAGATGGAGAACGTCATTGTTGTTGTTACCTTTAGGGTTGACGTATAAAGTCTTGTTTTTGGCGTTGTTTTCTTCAATTGCGTTGTGTACCGCCCTTTTTCTTTCTTTCATTTTGTGTTATTTACATATGCGTTTTGAACTTGCGCCGGGGTCACTTTCAGCGAGCAGAGCGGATGGCTTTTGGATTCAATTAGCCAATTCTCGGAAAAAATGTAATTCCGAGTTCGTGGAAGGAGATTTAGCTAATGATTTATCGGAAGATTCTTTGGCGCGTCAGTTGAAGTGGGGGGGGGGGTAGCTGGGAATCGTCACTCAGAAACGAGAATGATGATTCTTGTGTTTTTATATATTTTTTTTATTCGTGTAAGCCTATTGAGATATTGATTTTCTTTTATAACGACTGTGCAGTCTGTTTCCCCAAACCTCCCTCCTCCCCCCCCCCTCTCTCTCTCTCTCTCTCTCTCTCTCTCTCTCTCTCTCTCTCTCTCTCTCTCTCTCTCTCTCTCTCTCTCTCTCTCTCTCTCTCTCTCTCTCGTTCTCCCTCTCTCTCACTCTCCCTTCCTTTCCCCCCTCTCTCTCTCTCCCTCCCGTCCCCCCTCTCTCTTACTCTCCCTCTCCCTCCCTCCCTCCCCGCCTCTCTTGCTTCTTCCTTTCCCGTCTCTCTATGGACAGTAGGTTGGGTGTTCTTCGTATTATGCCTTGGAGGGTCATTTCTATCCATCACACACCTAAGGGTAATAGCTGGGGTCAGCAGACTAGGGCGATAAAAGGTTGGAATTGAGAAAGTTCCCTGCATTATCTCTCTCATTCCCTTCCCCCCTATTTTTTTTCTCCCCTTTCTCTGTCGCCATTCATATACTTCCAGGCCTAGATTCAATAAAATAGGGCCCTTGGGGGAGACCCCCCCCACACACACACAGAGGGAGAGAGACAGACACAGACAGACAGAGACAGAATATTGGTGAGATTCAGTAGCCTAAGGTAATTGTGTATCGTGTAGGTAAGTCCTCGCCCGCCTTTCACGTTTATTGCATCCCTCATTTCTTACTGCTCGTTATAAGCAGATGGTGTTAAGGAGTGATGTAATGGAGACGGGGAGTAAAAACAAACGGCTGTTATGGTGATTTTGAGGTGGCATCTTTTTTTCTTCTTTTTTTATGCAGCGTGGTTCTTCACATCTCGACGTCCGGCGGATCTATGACGTAACTCGCCACTAGATAGCGTGTCTATGCCCTTTTTCTTTAAACCTTAAATGCTCTGATCTCGGCATTGCTGATTCACTCTTCCCTTTCCCTCCCCAACCCAACCCCTTTCCTCCTGCTCACACATAAATGCATATCTCTTCCTCCCCCCTTCCTCCCCCAGGGTCATTTCACCCTCCCCTCCCTCCCCCTACTTGACCCCGGGCTGTTTGGAAGCTCACATGGGCCACAGATTTAGGACGCGATAACAGAACGGGTATTTTGCGCCCAAACGACTCGTGGTGCAAGCTCGACTCGTCACCTGTGGCTGTGTGCTTTAAACGTTGTTTTGATATGCGCGCCTATCACAACAAAGGCGGTTTGGAAGCAGTTCTCTTGTGTTGGCTGGAAAGTGAGCAGTTTTTTTGTTCTTTTTCTTTTCTTTTCTTTTGTAATCGTTCTGTATAAGGAGGGTATTTAACAAGCCTGAAATTCCGTGATCTTGACACTATTTTCACAAAGTAGCAAAATATGAACGAGTTGTAAATATTGGTTGCTTTCCGTCTCCCACTCCCTCCTTCCCCCCAAAGCTGGTGTTCTTATTTTAACTCTCTTTTCAGAGATACCTAATGCTCTTTGGTGAATGGAGCTCACGGTCTTTGAATGACACCATTCGTTTGTGTCAGTGACGCAACATGTATTTTTTATTTGATTATGTATTGGTGTTTATTGAGACACGTGCTTATATTCTTAAGCCTGTGTTATGTTGCAAATGTGTGTAGGAGGGGAGGGAGGGGTTGACAAAGTGTCGTAGAGCACGTAAAGGTTTTTGTGGTGGTAGTTCTGTTCTATTGTTGTTATGACCGTCGTCATCGTCATGGTTTTAAAACTGGTATTGTTTAGGTTTTAGGATTCCCACAGTGATTATTTTCTTGTTTACCAGTCGGCGCCAGAAAGTTTCCTTGTGAGCCACAGCTTCAGGTAAATTCACCCGTGCCCCTCCTTGCTCCGCCCCGCCCCTTCCTCTCCCGATTTGCCTGTTGCTGCGTAGGTACCGGTTGTGGGTGTATGGTGGTCGGAGGGAGGAAGGGAGGGAGAGCGGGCGGCGGGCGGGTGGGCGCTCATTTTGCGCATGCCTTACCGCTCTCGTTCGTTTTTCGGGGAAAGTTTTGAGGTGTTGGGTGGGAGGGGGAATGGGGAGCGATTTTGCCTTGTTACCAGACCCCACGGGGGAAATCTTCGTTTTTCCATAAGGGCGTGTGCAGGGAAGTAGGGGGAGAGGGTGTGGAGGGGGGAAGGAGTGATGGTGGGGGGAAAGTTGAGGGCAAGGTCGAACGGAGAGGCCTATTATGAACACGGGAGCCCTTGCGTAACAGTCTGTTTGTGCGGAATGGAGAGAGAGCGCGGAGGAGGTGGAGGTAGTCTCTCAAGGTGACATTTAATGATGGCGCCGGAAACTAGGGAGGGCAGGAGGGCCGGGAGGGAAGGAGAAATGGAGAGGAGACGGAGGTAATGAAGGTGGGAAGTGGGAAGGGGAGAGCTGGAGACACGTTGATTAGGGGAGGGGGTGGAGCGGTGCTCATGACTCCCCGGGACTTCGACGGCAGCATTACAGGGAGGCGGGTATTCATTACACAGGGAAATTTTCAGGGGAAGAAAGAGGGGGACGGGCAATGGTAGCTATTTTTTACTTCAGTTATGGTGTTAATTAGGAAGCTAATACACACACACACAGAATAAATGAGAGTCGTGTTTGACACATTTACTTTTGACATTTTCTGCTGCATGCTTTTTTCCCTCGGTGCATTTTGATGAAGAGTATGGGAGCCGTAAAGAAGTGAGGGAGGGAGGGAGTTGCAAAGTTGCAAGAGAAGTGCACAACCACTTGTGGCGTCTGTTGATGGCAGGGCTAGGTGGAGGAGGCGGAGGGGGTGGAGGGGAGGAAGGGGAGAACTTCCACATTGTAATCCATTTTCCAGTTTGGTGAGGTCGGGAATGAATTAGCTACTGGATTATAAAAAGACAGCATTTTCGATTTTGTTCGTCCCGTTATTTTGGTCGGGACATGTTGCGTCGGGATTGCGAGGCGTTGTCGGCGCTTATTGAAGGATGGGTAAAGCGGGGATGTGTGTAGTAAGGAGACTGCTGTTGACCTCCATTGAGCTGGGTGGAGGCAGGTGGGAGGTACGGGGGAGAGGGGGGGGCTGAGGTGCAGGTTTGAACTAGCCAAGTGAGAGAGAGAGAGAGAGAAGGTTGATAATGAGGATGATACGAGGCCCGAGAGGAGATGCTTCTGACATGGGAGGATGTAAACCCCGATTAAGATGAGCTGTTGACTGAGTTCGCGTCCCGGATCTGTGAATTGCTTGCACGAGCGGGTGGACGGACGGGCGCGCAGTTCACGTCACGGGCGTTCGCATTCGGGATGAGTTGGTGGGCGGCGAGTGAGGCACCTATCTACCTTTCCCCTAGCCCTAACCTTTTTTTCCCCTTCGTCTCTGTGTGACTTAACCCCCCCTCCCCTCCCCTTTCCTGCCATTAGGACATGTTTCCTTAGGAGGTGGGGAGAGGGGGGTGGATGGGAGGGGAACGGCTTTTTTAATC